TCCTTCCTTCCTTCCTTCCTTCCTTCCTTCCTTCCTTCCTTCCTGATAGGTCCTCTCTGTGCAGCCCTGGAGTGAGTTCTGTCCTGGAACTCACTCTGTAGACCAGGCTGGCCTCAAACTCAGGGACGACCTGCCTCTGCTGGGGTTAAGGATGTGCCCCACTGCCGCTCAGCTCTGCCTTGTGTTTTTGAGGCCTGGAGTTCTGGAGATCCAATTCAGGTCCTCATGCTTGCGTGGCAAGCTGAGTCATTTCCCCAGGTCTTAAACTCCATGCTCCTGACCGCCAAGGAGCTCTTGGCGCCCCCTGCTGGAATGCTGGCATTGCTAGCCACTCAAATTGCCACACTGTAACTTTCTATTCCCCACAAACAGCAGCTCCCCACAGGCCATTTCAGAAATATTATCCTGATACTGGCTTTTGCAGTCTCCTCTAGTCCCTTCCCCAGCCAACAGCAGATCTGGAAATGTCCCGCCTGCTTTGAACTCCACTTAGAACTAAGTGACCCTGAACAGCCGATGCCTGGCTGGATTCATACCACAGGGTACTTCACAAAGGCACTGTGAGGTCTTGAGAGATACAGAACAGTGCATAGTGATGATAAAACGTGGTATTGTTTTCCTTTGTTGGTTGGAATACAATGTTTGTAAAGTATAGTTTAATGGATGCCACAGGTTGCTGTTTCTTCAAGTCTGGCAAAGGCCTGGCTTTACCACCACAGCAGTGTTAACACTGAGTCTTGCCCTGGCGTGTAGGATTCTGACAACTTGGGAATCAGCGTGGCCCACCTGGGAAAGTTCTGAGGTGAAAGTTTTAAAACAGCTTTGTTGAATTTAACTTACCATCAAGTCCAGCTAAACACATTATATAATTAAACAGCCAGGACCACAACCGAGCCACACTTGAGCTTTGCCAAAAGGCTGAGAAGCAATGAGCATGACCTAACGTTTAAACACTTTCATGCCCTTAAGAAGCTCTGTAGTGAAGGTCACTCCCCAGCCCCACAGTAGCCCTGGTAACCACTCATCTGTTTTCCATTTGGATCCTTCATAGACATAGGATCATTCCAGGGTGAAGTCCTTTCCTGATGGGAATTTTTATCTATGTTCACCATTTGTTGTTTCCTCATTTTGCCATTTTTATTCTTCAAACCTGATTTTTAAAAATGTTCTGAGAAGTGTGCCTATAAAATGTATATGAACCCAGGGACAATATTAAATGACAGATCTGTGGGGCTCGGAGTTAGGAGTTGGTAAAGTGCTTGGCTTGAAGGCATAAGGATCGGAGCTCATTCCCCATAAACCGCTTTAAAACAAACAAACAAACAAACAAAAAGAAAACAGGCTTGGGTGGCATACTTTTGTAATCCTAGGGCATGAGAGGCAGAGATAGCACATGCCTGGGGATTCTGTGGCCGGCCAGCCTAGGTTACTTGATGAGTTCCAGGACAGGTTAAAAAAAAAAAAAAAAAAAGTAGACAGCATCTGACAAATGCCACCTTTGACCTCCATATGCAGGCACAATATGTAAACACGTACACAAATCTGTGTCTGTGGGCTTTTTATATCAGGACACACTCCTCAGTCCAATACACACAGAACAGGACTGTCTACATACAGTCTGGAGAGGGCGGTGGTCTGCTGTAACCCGCAGGGTCCTCTGGTTCCGTCCAGTACCGGCCACAGACTATACTCTGGAGGCTCTGTGGGGAACAGCAGACGCTCATGGGAGGCTGACAGAGCTGCTTCCTGGCCCCCTGCAGGATACAATGCCTGGAGACGCTTCTGTGGCCTTTCCCAGCCCCGCAACTTGGCCCAGCTTAGCCGGGTGCTGAAGAATCAGGATTTGGCAAGGAAGTTTCTGAGGCTGTATGGGACACCCAACAACATCGACATCTGGATTGGGGCCATCGCCGAGCCTCTCCTGCCGGGGGCCCGCGTGGGGCCTCTTCTGGCTTGTCTTTTTGAGAACCAGTTCAGAAGAGCCAGAGATGGAGACAGGTAAGTGACCCTCCCCAGCCTAAAATAAACCAGCACCCAAAGGAGAGGAGAAAGACACAGGGTTGAGTGGATGGACGACAAAGAAAGCTCCTTTTAAAGCTTAATTTCTTCCAAGATCACAGGACCTGGGACCAGGAGGAAATCTGTGTCTGTGGGCTTTTTACATCAGAACACATTCCTCGGTCCAATACACACAACACACAGGCCTGTCCACCTACAGTCTAGAGAGGGGTGGTGATCTGCTGTTACCTGTAGGGGTCCTCTGGTTACGACCACCCATCCCATGGAAAGTGGGTTGGAGGAAAAGAAATGCTGACCTCGGCAAGACTGACACAGCCTAGGCTGGCCAGATCAGCGACTAGCCAGCCTCACTCTTCTGAGCTAGCAGAAGACATGGGCAGAAAGAACTAAAACTGGTTTTTCCTCTAGTGAGCTTGCGGCTTAAGACCTGACTATTCAGATGTGACATATGCTTGAGTTCAGACCCATCCCTGGCCACCTAGATAGTTGTATGCTTACTTCTGGGCAGTTCACTTGCGAAATGGATACAGCAGAATGTCTGTCTGAAGAGCCAGGCATGCGAGAGGCGCTCACTGTGCGATAACTCTCCAAATCCCTCTTGACCTACAGATTCTGGTGGGAGAAACGGGGTGTTTTCACCAAAAGACAACGCAAAGCCCTGAGACAGGTTTCTTTATCTCGGATTGTATGCGACAACACGGGCATCACCACGGTTTCGAGGGACATCTTCAGAGCTAACATCTACCCACGGGGTTTTGTGAGCTGCAGCAGCATTCCCAAGTTGAACCTGTCGGCCTGGCGAGGCAAATGAGGCAGGTAAGGGGAGATCTTACAGTGGCATCCCTCCCTGGAAGAGGACATCCCATCTGCTAAGCAAGGACAGAAGAATTTGTCAGTAGGAGCGTGGTACCTTTTCTAGTGGCTTCCAAAATTGGTAGCTTTTGGGCTGATAGTCAGTTTTGGGGTCTAGGACTTGGTGGGGTAAGAGGGACAATTAGACAGGTTTAACTGCCCTCACTTTTGTCACTAATGTCCTAGCTTTTGGGATATCTAACAGATTTCTCATTTGCTTATTTCTGCTATTCCCACAGGATTCCATGCCTTGGAGACGAGGGTGGGGAAAGAGTTCATGAGGCTGACTTCTCCCTGCAAACCACCATTTCCTGCTGGAGCTTTTGCTGCTTACAGCTCAGAGCTGCCTCTGTTGGTTATGAGTGCTAAGGGTGCTATGGCAACGAGCCCACTTACCTTGGGAACCTCTTAGACGTTAGGTTATGAATCAGCACCAGGTCTAAGAGCCTGTGAGCTAAGCAATGAGGCTCTGAGATCCTAGTAAGAGGCTGTGGGAGGGTTTCCAGCACTTCCTCCTGTGCCTGCCCCATAGTGTGATGGGAAGAGCACACAGTTCTGGCTCTTAGCCATCCCACAGTCTTCCTCTGGAAGGACAGCATTTTCTGCTTCTTCTACCAATAAAACAATGCTGAGGGCATGGCCTGCTGTCTCTTTGTTGGGCTGAAGGGAGTGTGGCCCCCATTCCAAGCTTTGTCCCACATATTAAAGATGAGGGCTGCTAAAATGTGGCCTGGACTCGCCACAGTGTCTCTTCAGGAGTTTTAATTAAGGGAAACTGTGAAAAAGAAAAAGGCGGAGTTTGGGCTTCCACAGTAGAAAGAATGACAGTTCACAGAAGATCAGTCAATACAAATACTTTTTATATGAGAAACAAAGAAATGAATACAAGACCCCACCCAGCTAGCAGGAAGGGCTGGGAACTACCTCAGGCCATGTTCTAAACTCAGCCAGCCCTACTGTAGGGGGACAGAGACTTCCCAGGAAGTTGAGGCCTCTTACCCTCCCCTTCTCTAGGAAGAAGGGAGAGACTGAGCTCTCTCATGTAGTTTCCTCCTTGGAAGATGACAAACTCCTTTGTTGTTGTTTTGCTTTTGTTTTTTGAGATAGGGTCTCCCTACGTAGCTCTGGTTGTCCCAGAACTCACTATGTAGACAAGGCTGGCCTCGAGCTCATAGAGATCTGCCTCTGCCTCTTGAGTATTGGGATTAAAGGTGTACGCCACTACTCCTGGATGCCAAACTCCATTTTGTAGTTTTCTACAGCTCTCTGCCGCTGAGCCTCCATGACAAACCAGAAAAGACACTGTGGAGGACAGGCTAAGGCTGGCTTCACCCCAAACGAGTTTCAGACTACAGAGCCTTGTTATGATGCCCATGTTTGATAGCCAAAACATGAAGAGGGGGTCACACGGGGTCTCAGAGCCTCTGGCTTTCCTTCCACATGGAAGAAAGACGGTCCTGCCGAAGGCTTCGCAGAGGAGCCAGCTGGAAATTTCTAGACGGTCCAGTTTGGTAGACCAATGTGGTCTCTAATAAGCAAGGCGAGGCGAGAGAGCGCTGGGTGCAGGCATCTTTCACCTTGTCCTCTTGCCTCACAGGCCAGGGATGCAGAGGGCTAGGCCAGCGTTCCTGAGGGGCTCACAAGGTCCTGGGGGAGGCTCTCCCGGGCCTCCTGCATGCGGCGCCGGGCTCGACGGAAGGCCTCTGTAAGGGAGGGAAACATGGCCGTGGAGTCAGCTGCCGAGGTGTGGACAGGGAAGTGGCCCAGGGTGTCCACGTCGGGGAACGGGGAGCCCACCTAGCACACTGTGCGTGGAACTCTGCTGGCTGAACCCTTCCAGGTGGTCCAGCACACTCCGCATCTGCTTCCGGAGGGAGCTTGACTCCATGAACGCCCTGCAGGGAAGCACCGCACACGGTGGAGGCTGCTCGCCAGCCTCCCGCACCCCCCCCTCCCCTGGACAGGGCGCTCGGGGCAGGGCCTGGGGCCACTCACCTGGACTGCTGGAGGCAGTGGAAGCGGAAGGTGACTGTGCCTGTGGTCTCAGTGTGGAAGCCAAAGCGGCTCAGGCGCTCCCCCTGCACAGACAGCAGAGACACAATCAGTTTGTGCAGACTCTAGACCAGGGCCGTTGCTGCTGTTCGGACTCCTGTTCTTGGGAAGTGTTAGGATTACTGAGGAATCTTCATTCTGCCATTCAGACCCCAGCACCACAAGGGTGATGCCAGGCTCCCCTCTTGTAACTCAGGAAACATTCCATCCTCATTTGAGGATGAGCAGGCTTATATGCTTCTTGTTTATTCCAATTACCAAGGACTTCAGTGATGGAAAGGGGATGAAGAAATCCCTAAACTACTTCCCAAGGACCTCCTCGTATAGATAGTTGGACCTGTAAAATATGGGCAGGATAAGCCATGGGAAGGAAGGGGCTCTATAACATGAGCTCAATGAGCAGTGAGGAGAAGGGCCTCAAACAGGAATTATAAACACTCAGCCTGAAGTCTCCCCAGAGACAAGTCACCTTGAAGGTTCCTGGTATCCTCACGTAGGAGGAGTCCTCCAGCTCCAGGGAACCACCAATGAAGAACCTCCTTAGTTCTGCCACAAGGCCCAGCTCCATGGGCCTCCACGTGGAGATGGTCAGAGTGTGTGATCCTGTGTAAGGAAGAGGGCCAAGGGGCCAGGTTCCATCCCTGACGTCCCAGCAATGACCTGGGTTGGCAGAGGTTAGCATGGGGGATGACAGTGCCTGACCGGAAGACAGTGGGACAGAAATTCTCATCTCAGTTCCAAGGATCACTGTGTGTCCCTCCTCCTTTGACCTAGTGAAACGCAGAAGCAAGCACAACACTGCCTTGCAGGGGGGCTGGGGCGTTAAAAGAGGCTTAGTGCAGTGTCTGGCACACAGCCACAGGCCTGCACTCCTACTTAAGAGGGATCGTCAACTCATTCAGAGCCCTAAGGCCGAGAGCTCACTGATGGTTCAGCTTCTCGGTCAGGGCTGTGGTCTACCTGGCAGCCCGCCAGGCTGCTGGATTGCAGCTTCACAGTGTCTCTCACAGGAGGTGAGGGATTCCTCAAAGCCGCCAGTGAGCTTTCAGGTCAGAGCCCGGCCCTCCCTCCCGTTCCTAACCATCTCTACGTCCCATCAGGAGCGTTGGAGTCTTTTGGAAGTACTAGCCTTGTTGCAAGGACCAAGGACACTGGGAAGGGCAGGGCCAGGAGGTCACCTGGGGTGGCAGGCAGCACCACAGCCCCGTAGCCTTCCACACGATACCTCTGCCAGAAGTCCAGTGAGAGGACCTTACAGTAGAGCACGGGCCACTCTGGGAGGGCGTCTGGAAGGTAAGCGGGGTGGCACTCAGGTCACAGAGACCTCTGCTAAGAGAGGGCCCTGCGTGAGGACTAGTGAGGCCGAGGGCCACGGCTACTCACCGGCCGATTCATCCTCATGGAGAAAGAAGGCTTCGAATGTGAACGGATAGGAGAAATAGGCCACCTTGTCCTAAAAGAAGAGTGTCATTTTCAACTCAGGGTCACAGGGTGGACAAAGCCTTGCTTGGAATTGGTTCTCTTTGTGTCTAATGCCAAGGTCACCTTCACAGTGGAAAGAAAAACTGTCAGCTTGGTAGGAAGCCAATGGGCAAGGGGCAGCCAGATATGAGCTGCTGTCAAGAGATCAGGAATGACTCTGGCCCAGGCAGCCCCACCCAGGACCCCTCCACAGAGCACACAGGTGGTTGGGCCTGATGAAGCTTCAAATGCCAGCTTTCAAATACCCTCTGATCCTCCATACCATTCCCAGGGATTTGGTGGCACAGGTCTGGGTTACTCCTGAGAGTTGCAGGAATGACGGGCTTGACCAGTCTGAAAAAGCCAAAGACCAGACACACTAAGCTCACTAGAGAGGCCAGAAAGTCACTGAAAAAAGGACGAAGTTCTATCCATCCATTCATGCATTCATTCATTCACTCAGTCACTCAACGTGTCATTCATCTATCATTTACTGGGTCTGCTGTATGCTGATATGTTCTGAGGATATGTTAGTGAGGAGATTGTCCCTCCCGGAGCTAACAGTCTAGTGTGTCTATGGGCAGGGCAACGGGCATAGACGGGATGTAAGCTACTGGATGGATGCAATTGCCTAGTGAGTCTAGAGGTGGAGAGCAACACAGCTCAGGCTTAGCTTCAGATGGGGACCAGAAGAGAGAGGAAGGATCCACCGAAGAGCCAGGGAGCCCTGAGTGAGGAGGAGGAGGAGGGGCTATGGCGCCAGCAGCCAAGAGAAATGCCTCATGAAGAAAAGTGCGCTGTGTCAAGGGCTGCAGAGGGGTCAGTGTGGTGGGAGGACGGAGCCACCGTTGGAAGTGGCAATGCAGAGGTGACCTGTGACCTTGAACAGTTTCAGTGGGAGTGGCCGGGATGCCTCTAGGACTGTGGGAATAGCTGTGAAAAAAGAAATGCAAGAAAATTCCTTACTAGTCGGTGGCAGCTCCACAAAGAAGTGGATGTAGAGGTTGTCGTACTCGAAGCCTTGAGCTGAAACTGAAGAGAGAGAACGGGGTATAAGTTTAGCTTGCTCGCTCCTTCCTCTTACCACTCAGTCTGGCCTTGAAAGGCCCACAAGCTCGGCAGCAAGCATTAGGAGTGCCCAGCACCCTGTTTCCTTTCTGGAGTCTTTTCTAGACTCATCATCCAGTTTCCCAACAACCATGTTCAGCCCAAACTAAGCCACGGTGAGTAGCTTGCTCACACACAGCTCCGTCAGACTCTTGCCTGGCTCCAAGACAAGACACTTACCTACCTCTCCATTTACAAAGAGCCGGAGGACGCCTGGGTCGGTCTGCAGTGGAGAGAAATGGGAGGGTGTTAGGTTTAGAGGGAATCAATGTTGTGGCCTGACTTCTGTCTCCAAATCTACAGAAGATCTTACACTGCATATCCAGCCTTGACCAGTTTCTCCCTACAAAACAGTTCTCTCTCCTGTTTCTAAGACTCAGAGATCAACAGCACAGCACTCAGCTGGCAGGGAGGGTAGCAAACGCTAGAATTCTTGAGGCAGCCAAGTTTTCTTTTTTAATCATTTGTGTTATCTGTTCTTACTTGTTTACATGAGAATCTGCTGCCTATGCAATGTAAAAGCAATACAAGTTAAGTTTCCAGAGACAGAGAGAGGCCAGTGAGTAGTGGTTCTATCCTTGTTTGCAGAGTTAGAAAATGAACCACTGGTGGTGAAGACACAGAAAGGACCCTCGAGTAACTGACCTCAACTGCTTTGGTTTCATTTTCTAAAACCCAAAACATTTGCTCATCAGAAATGACATCTCTTTCCCTGCCGAGGGTGCTTTGGGACAACAGCTACATGAATGATGAGGAAGCCAGTTTTGATCTTGATATTGTTTTTTAAATTAATTATAAATCAATATATGAATGCATTAACCCTGATAACCCCCCCCCCCAATCCACCTAAACATGGAGAACAGTAAGTCAAAATGCCTAACACATTCTTCTCACTACCCAATACCCAACTGCCCTTTCAGACCTCAGTCTATGCATGCAAAGGTCTACATCAACCTCCTGGGTCCTGGGGTGCATCTTGGACTCTTTAAGAGAGGCAGACGAGCTCATTTACAGTCAGACACTCTGCCTAACAGCTCTGCAGGAAGCGGAGCTACCCACCATCTCAAAGTCTGTGCCCACGAGGCTGCTGAGGTACTCCTTGTGGCGGCCATAAAGCTGAGGAAACAAAGAAAACCAATCCTCAAAATGCAGCTCAAGGCAGACCGGGGTTTAGTTCTGAATGGGGGAAAGTCAGAGCAGGACAGGCATGCCAGAGAGTGACATTTTAAGAAGATGGTTGGTAGTTTGTGCCTGCAGTCCCAGCATTGATTGCCGAGACAGGAGGATTGCTGTCAACTCAAGGCGAGCTGGGCTGCATAGGGAGTTCCTGGCTAGTCTGAGCTAGAGTGATACAGCCTTAACACACACATATCCCTGCCAATAAATAACTAAAATAAAGTGATACACGGAGGCTCAGGATTTGGCCAATCTGGGAATGTATCTGGCCCTAAAGTTCACAAGCTCTATTGCTTGGGTCCTTAACGTAGGGTTCAAGTGGCTATCATGCTCATCTCACAGGGTGAAATGCCTGTAATATGCCTGGTGCAGAGCACGATCACTATTCAGGGAAGTGGCCAGTTACTACGCCCTGGTGTGCTCAGAGCTGCCAGTTATCAGCTGTCTTCTGGATGGTGGTGGATGCCCTCTTCTTCAGCAGCCACACAGGCACAGTCTCAGCTCCCGGCACATGGCCTCCTTCCTCCCGGATGGGAAATACATTAGTGCTTACATCCTTGAACACGCGCTGTTCCCGCTCTTCCTCCTCCGGTTGTGCAAGGGAGGACACGTTGTCAATTGTGTATTTCCAAGCAGAAGTGTGTTCCTGCTTCTCTCCCTCGGTCTCGATTCTGGGAGTTCAAAGCCACAAAGAGGATCATTTCTGTTGGTCAGAGGTGTGGCTGCTGCCCCCCCCCCCCGACCCAACTACACTGGTGACACAGCTCACTGGAGGAGACATCATAAAGATGACCGAGACGAGGAAATTGTGGCAAAGCAGAAAGGGTACCGGACTAAACCCACAGGATCTGGGCCCATTTCTACCTTAAAGACATCGGAAACCCTGACACTCAGTTCTCTCACCTGAAAGAGGGTCAGGTTGGGGGTGTGTTTGGTGTCCTCTCAGACAAAGATGAGGATGAAGGTTGGCTCTGGCCTGGCAGAGTCCACCTCCCCTGCCCTAGCCAGTACTCTGTACTGTACTCTGTACCCTGTACTGTGCAAGGCACGGATCCTTCTCACCTAACCACACAGCTATGTGATTCCTTTTGTTGCACATTTTCTGGGCTGTTTCCTAAAGCCCTATGACCTAGAACATATACAAACCAGTGCCTGGGAATCCAAAGCTTAGGAGCAAAGCCAAGGGCTTCTGGGAATCTGCTCAGCTACAGGCAAGCAGGGCAAGGAGGGAAGCCTCTGTCACCTTCCCCTTCCCACCTGTAGGGCCCTTTGAGGCCAGTGAAGTCAGGCTTTACGGTGATCGCGCCATTGCTGTCCACCTTCAGAACGCAGAGGACATGCTCATATGTCTTGTAGCCGAGCCTAGGAGGCAGGAGGTCAACATCAAGGTTCAGGGTCGCCAGGGAAAGGAAGAGGTCGTCAACCACTTCAGGGACAGGACAGAGGGACGGTGAGAACCTTGGTAACACACTTTCCTTCTGAGTAAAGAAAAAAAAAGCCCCAGACAGCTGGAAAGGAAGCTGCTGCCCGGTGGCTGGAGGATGAGAGCTGGCAGGGTGGAGTGTCACTCACTTCCCATAGGGTCCCAGGTCTGCCATGATGTACATTGTCTGAAGAGGAGTGTTAATAGCGTGGCTGTTCCTGATGAAGTCTTCTGAGGGCTCCCACGTGATGATACGAGACCTGAGTTTGCTGCCCTCCCTGGGTAGGGACCACAGGAGAGGGTCACTTCCCTGACACCCCACACAGAGTCTGAAAAAGATCGTAAGGGAACCCCCCTCCCCACTGGGTCTCCAACTGGACAGGAAGTGTTAGTAGAAGTTCTGGGAACGTTAAATTAGCATGAGAGACCACACAGACCCCCTGATGCCTGCTTGCACTCACATCCCTCGTCTGTCCTGGCGGCGCCGCCTGACATTGGCCATCCGCTCAACCAAAAATGATGGCACCTCGCTGGCTGCAGTAGTTATTTTCTGACAGTACTGGGAAAAGAGAACAGTAGAGTATGAATGCCGTGTGGTCAGGGCTACATAGGGAGAAACGCCTGGATGAAAACCTTTCTTTGACCCCCTCCACCAGAGTGCAAATCCAACAGATAGAACCTCATGGTTGCCTCTGCTGGGGGAGGGGAAGAGATGGCACAATCCAAGGAAGCCGCCAACCATGCCTTGGTTTTCCTCAAGAGTCTAGAAAGGAGTTGTTTGTGCTAATAGTAACACCAGAATTCTCTGAACACATGCCAACAAAACGTTGGGTAAGTTTGCCTGGTAAATATGGATGCTAGGTGGTCAAGAATGCCAAATAGTATACTAGGTTTTTTAAGGAAGTTCTCACTTGGGTAAGCTAGCACCAACTGTATTTTTAGTTGCTTTCCCCAAACAGTCTAAAATTTATATGAAATTTATACGCCGCCAGCTCACAGCTCTCCTGAAGAAAGCAGTCCAATCTTTCAAAAGACACCCACTACCACCTGCTCTCGGCTGCACTCATGGATAAAAAAAATCAGAAAATATGGTTCTACCTTCAAGGAATTTACTGTCTTTCTGAGAAGACGTGTAACGAGGGAAGAGAATGTAAAACAAGCCCAGAAGGGCACATGTATGCAGACAAGGACACAGACATGCCCGTGGCCTAAACAAATTCCTCTTCTCATCTACAAACTCTCGCTGTCTGAATTTTATCTGGTCAGTTCATACACTATCAGGCCCCACAGGCAGAACGTAATAGCCACACCTCCTGCAGACTCTGCCCACTCCAGCCTGGCTGTCGGCAGCTCACAGCAGCTTCGAGAACCACCCTGTGTCTCCCTTTACTGGGTTACTCGCTTACCACACAGGGCCAGTGAGTCTAGAAAGCCAGGGGAGACAAGGAAGAAAACGAAGGTACTTCAGGAGGAACAATACCTCTTCCAAGTCGGTGTATCTGTCTGAGTCGGTGTAGGTGAAGATTCGCCGGTTTTTCCTGCCGCCGGAATTCTCCAGCTTCAGGACCTCTTGGCGGTACTGATGGTCCAATGGACTCTGACACGCGGATTCGTTCTGGTACAGGTCAACTTCAAACTGAGGTCACCACAAAGAAACAGACTGGCTGGGACCTCCTCAACCTTTGATTCCTACAGCTATTGAAACAAATCACTTCCAGAGCTAGCTGGCATGTTCTCATGACCAACCATCACTTTGTTTAACTAATGAAGGGCAGGGGATCTGAAGATGTCAGATCTATCCCAAACATGCTGCTAGAGATGCCATGGAGCTCAGAGACGGGGACTGCCTCACTGAGCAGCGGCAGCCGTTATGTTATATATGGGGGGGGGGGGAGTATAATCTACCACAGCCCTTTCTGGAAATCAGTTTGACATATGAGTCACCAGCCAGGTGGGAGTTGGGTGGGTGGAGGACAAGTTAATGCTGGCTTACCTGGCTAAAGAGCTTCTCCTGCCACCCAATCACGACCTCTTCCTCCTCTTCTTCATCAGGGCGGTGCCCACCTCCAAACACAACAGAATGAGTCAGGCCTAACAATACTTCTTCCTCGGTGGCCGATTATAACTGGTGTCCCTATTCTGGTTTTATTATTTCCGCTATTGTTTGGGACGGTGTCTCACTCTGCAACTCACTCTGGCCTCAAATTCCAGCTCCTCCTGCTTCAGCCAGAAAAACGCTGACATTACAGGTGAACACCACCAGGCCTGACGGCAAACCCACTGGGGTTCAGTGATTCATGAAGGACTGGTCTAGACAAGGAATGGAGGTGGCAGATGCAAAATCAGGACCCGAGGCATCTTAATCATTATTCTAATTTGAATAAAAAGGCAGGCTGGCCTTTCAGGAGATACTGCATCCAATCCAGTAGTAGGAGCTGAAATTTAGTTAGAGGCTGGAGGGCCGGCCCTTCCACAATGGAGTCTGCATTCACTAGCTAAGGACCCTGTGTTTTTCTTTCATATCCCTGAACCCACCGACACGATCATCCACTAACACTAACTCAGGAGAAAAAGCATCAGGAGGGGGCAGTGAAGGCAAATAAATGGCTTTTTAAGAAACTATATTTAACACACCCCTAGCTCTGTATGTCTTTCTCCAGATACATACTTTGTGACCCACCCTTTTTGCCTGAGAATATTTCTGAATAGAAAGCAAAATAACAATAGCATGAAAAATTATCGGCCCAACATAAGTATCTTGTCCTTTCTTTTGGCTTTCAAAGGCAAGGGAAATCACACTTTATGCAAACTCCTGTTCTAAAATTGTTTTAAGTGCATACGTTTGGAGTTTGGAACATATTTCTCTTAGATGTCCCATCCCCACCCCTCACCCCACCAAAGTCACAATTTGGGTAAGATGTCTCAAGCCCCAGGACTCATGGGATGAAAACAGATAACTGACTCCAAAGGTTGATTTCGGAGTTTCACTACTGCACTGTGGCATGGGCATGCACACACACACAGGTAAATAAAAATGCTAAACTAAATAAGTAAATAAAAATTGCCCAGGTCCAAACGCCCCCACATTCTCCAGCTGTGTGACACTGGGCAACAAGTTCAAGCTGTCCGAGCCTTCCTTTCCTCCTCTGTACCTCTACTGCCCCGGACCCTTTCCTCAGTTCTCAAGGGGAATGCATCATTATCACCACAAACACCCACTAGCCGTTTGAGGAGGCCTAAAAGTGGCCAAGTCTATGAGGTCCTTTCCCATCTGGGCAGCAGGCTGGTAATGAAGGAAGTTGCTTGATGTGATTCTTTGCAGATGAACTCTGTCAAGAAAAGAGAAGGCTCAAATACGCGTGTCAAAGACACACAACAAGGAGAAAAACACAGCAAGGATGGGGGGAAAGAAATCAGAGGCGCGGAGATGCCGAGGAGGCTGCAAGCAGAGCGTGGGGAGGAGGTGGGTGAGGGACACAAGGGCCTGAGGGGTTTGAAAGTGACAGGAACTTGAAGGGACTTGGGCAGGGCTGAGTCTGGAAGGTGTGTCCGGAAAGCTTTCAGTGGGAAAAGATCCTGATAGCGAGAGGCGCGGAGACTGCAGAGGAAGTAGTTGGGATTGCAAGCGGAAGCGGGGACCTCCGAGCATCCCAAAGCTTAGGGTGGAATAAAGTTAGGGGGGGACCTTGGAGCATAAAGGTAGGGGACGCCGGAGCTGGGGTGGTGTGACTACCGGAGGCGCAGGTTGCGCACGGGGTCCCGGGAGCGATACACAGCCTCGCCCGTGTCAGTGCTCCAGACCGCTTCCGCCATGACAGCTGCTTCGCGCCGCGACCGCGCCGGAAAGCGCGGTGCCCTGTTCCCCTGGCAACGGAGACGCTGGCTTCCCAGGCGCTGCAGGCTCTGCGCACATCTCTCCGTGCCCGCGGGAGCCGGTCCCTAACCTGGCAGGGCGACCCCTCAGCGCTCTAGGGTGCTGTCACATGAGGTCTGCATCTTGGCTCGTTCTTATGTGAATAAAGCTCACCCACACCCAAGGGGAGAGTCGACGCCTTACACAAACGAGGAAACCGCCGTCAGCTACTTTATTTAGGTGCAAAAATGGTGATGGCGGCCAGAACCAGGTGACCTGAGACCTTGCTTTCTAATTAAACACTGCCTTCCACTAAACATTTGGAAACATTTGGTCTAGGGGGGCTGAAGAAATGGCGTAGTGGTTAAGAGGTTAGTGACTGCTGTTTCGGAGGAACTGGTTTCAGTTCCCAGCCGCCCACACGGCCGTTCATCTGTCTGTAACTCCAGTTCCAGAGGGTCAGACTGTTAGGATATATTTTAAAATGCCACATACAACAGATCTGATAGGAAAGAGACTTATTGGATGGAGGTGGAAAGAGAGGGAGAGGAGAGAGAGAAGAGAGAGAAGAAAGAGGGAGAGGAGAGAGAAAAACTCTGGCCTAAACAGTTGGTGGATATGACTGGAAGGACATACAAAGACAAGAAAACATATTATTGGAAGAAAAAAACCAAAAAACAAAACTGTGAAGCCTTTTTGTTGGTATGCACTGAGCCAGAGAAAGAAAAAACAAGGAAGCCAGCAGTAAAAACAAGGAAACCAGCAGTAAGGAGGGAAAGGGTGTCTTTTTATGAACTGGCTCTTCCCCTGGGCATGTTGGTTCTGGATTATCAGCCAGTTTAGATTCCACATCAGCCCCTGAAAAACCACCTAAGTTACATTCAGAAGTCATGGTTCACTGGAGTATCAAAGGAAAGATGGTATAAATTTAATTCCGGCAGTTTGGCAATATCAACATCAGATCTTTGACAGCTGCTACTCCTGCTGAATAAGTAATTGTTTCTGGGACGGAGGAATTTCATGGCCGTCTGATTATAGGGCATGGAAGTCCTAGACACCTTAGCTGCTCGTCGAGTAGGTTGAGAACTCACCACAAACAGCACCTACTTTTTAAGGATTAAATCCAGTTGGATTGTATTGACTGTAACCCTCATAAAAACACTTCTAAGAGGCACTTTATTCCTACTTAAAAGATGAAGTTAGCTAGGGCCAGGAGTTAAGTACGAGGCTTATTAACAAGTGCTAAAGTGTTTACCATTTTAGCCAGATTCCAACCTGGTCTGTCTTTTGAGGCCTCAGACCTTCCACTGACTTTCCGTCTCCTGCTCACCTCCCAAAGAACACACAATTTCCAATGAAGTGATGATTTCAATAGATGAAACCATGGAGACTGACTCGTTAAAAAGAAAGTCACTCTGATTTTTCCTCTTAAAGATGAGAAGAGCCAGGAGTGGTGGTTTGTGTTTGAATTCCCAGCACTGGAGACATAAATGGAAGAATTCCAGGTTTCAGACCTTATTCAAACAAAACAAAAGAAAAACACACAAGAAGAAAACAGTCAACTAAGGGCTGTAGAAAAGGCTCAGTGGATGAAGGCCTTTGCTGCTAAGGCCTGAGTTTGATCCTTGGAACAGGAAAGCTGACTTCCTCACAGAGCTGCCCTTTGACCTCCACCCTTTGGGGCATGTGTGCCTACATACACCATCACCAATAACGATGATAAAATTAACCTTTTTTTTTTTTTTTCATGGAACCTCCTTTGCCATTGGCTGTGTCAAGATTATGCTGAATGTCTCCTTCCCAGCCGCTAGCTGTGAGAAATGCACTGAAGTGGACAATGAATGCATGCTCTGTGAGGAGTGTACAGCCACAGCTGCTGGTACTTTGGGTGAAGAGCAGAAGGGTTATGTGGTCCAAAAGAGTCATGGGAATGAAAAACAAGGTCTTCCCATGAAGGTCTTGACCCATGCAGAGCACGCCTGCTGTTGAGTAAGGAAGGGGTTTTCTTACCATGGACCAAGGAGAACTGGAGAGCAGAAGTTCAATTCTGTTCACAGATATATTGTGGACACCAGTCTGAGTTTTCTTGTCTGGTTGTTGTGGGGGGAAAGAGAGAAGAAAGTTCCTGGATACTACAGTGCCTCAGTGGATAGGGCCCCAAAGATCTTGCAGAATCTGAAAGCTTTCAGTCTTTCGAAAGAAGATGATGTCCATCAACATGTTGCCAGAAAGCCCATAAACAAAGGAGGTAAGGAGCCCAGGACCAAACTGCCCATGATTTAGCATCCCAGGATTCAGCGTCTCAGGATTCAGCATCTTGTTACTCTGAAGAAGCAATGCACTAAGAAAAGCAAAAAGGCAGGACATGGTGGAGCACACATTTAATCCCAGCACTTGGGGAGGCAGAGGCAGGTGGATCTCTGTGAGTTCGAGGCCAGCCTGGTCTACAAAGAGAGTTCAGGATAGCCATGGCTCGAAAACAAAAGAAGTAGAAGAGGAGGAAGAGGAGGAGGAGGCTTTGAAAAAAAAAGGTAGCATTTAAGAACTTTCTTTTAATAGACAACTACTATGTTACATGAGCAATAAATAATAAGGATGAAGCTGCCATCCATAATTTAGTTTTATAACCAAGTCAAACTTACACCAAAATCAAACAGAAGTAATTGTATGCAAATTTATGTGGAGGGTTAGGGCTGTCTGTACAAGTAAACATAATTAACTTTTTTGTACAAATAAACTATTTTTTAAATTTTTCCTTACCCACTGAGTCTTATAAATCTGGCTGTTTATTTATTTATTTATTTACCTTTTGCTTTTTTGAGACAGGGTTTTTCTGTGTAGCCCTGGCTGTCCTGGAACTCGCTCTGTAGGCTCAGAGATCCTCCTGCTTCTGCCTCCTGAGTGCTGGGAGTAAAGTTGTGAGCCACCACTGCCTGGGTAAACCCAGCCTTTAAATCTGAGGTCCTGGACTAGGTGTCAAAGGTTCTCCTCTAGGGTTTTGATTGGGACATTTTTTGAAAAGAGCTCAGAGTTTTTAGCAGAGTCTGGTATTGTACTCTGATATTAAGAACAGCCTGGATTTTATGTATTCTGGACATTAGCTTTTTTTTTCTGGCCATTAACCTTTTAAATGTTACTTCTGTGTTGGGAAAACACTGTAAACAGTCTATCCAATCAGTCCCTTGTATCTGTGGGTTTTCCATCCATAGATCTAACCATTTACAGACTGAAACTGTTCAGGGAAGAAAGAGTTATTACCTGTGCTGAACATGGGTAAACTTTTTTTCTTGTCCTAATTCCCTACAGTGATTCCCATAGCGTTTACACGACATTGGGTGTAGAGATCTAGAGATGATTTAAAGCACCTAGTGCTGTGGGGCTGTAGCTCACTGTGCAGAGCCCTTACCTAGCCCTAGCACATGTGACTCCATGGGTTTGCTCTCCAGCCACACGCAACCAGCTGTGGTAGCACAAATCTGTAACCCCAGGACTTGAGCGGAGGCCGAAGGATCAGGAGTTCAAGGTCATCTGGGCTGCACAGCTACTTCACAGCCAGCTGAGCTGAGGCCCTGTCTCAGACAACAAACAGAATCCCAAACACCAACAAGGTTGTTTTTAAAAAAAGAAGTTCTAGTCTTGGTTTCCAAAATAAAAACGACAAGACCAAGCCAAACCGTTAAAGGTACAGTTGTTGAGTCAAAGGGCCACTTGCAGCTGAATCACTGCATAAAATATACCCGATGTGTGCCCAAGGAAAAGGCCACTAAGAAGGTTGCCATTTAGACACAGGAGAGGCCACTGCTGTCATCGCCAGGGCAAGCATCTTTGATGTGTATATGCCTCACGCGTGCTCTGTGAAGTGCCTTCACTGAGTTGTGCCATTCAACGCAACGTGGTCAGGAATCAATCTCGTGCAGTCCAGAAGGTCTGAACAACCTCATGCTTTTTCAGGCCTGCTGCTGATGACCTGTGACCTCCATGAAAGAAAGAAAGAAAGATGAAAGAAAGAAAGAAAGAAAGAAAGAAAGAAAGAAAGAAAGAAAGAAAGGAAGGAAGGAAGGAAGGAAGGAAGGAAGGAAGGAAGGAAGGAAGGAGGAAGGGAGGGAGGGAAGGAGGGAGGGAGGGAGGGAAAGGAAGAAAGGAAGGAAGGAAGGAAGGAAGGAAGGAAGAAAGAAAGAAAGAAAGAAAGAAAGAAAGAAAGAAAGAAAGAAAGAAAAGAGGGTGTGTGGGGGTTATTTTGTTTCTTAAACTAAAACTTCTCCAAGCAACCGGTCATTTTAGGAGAAACACAGTGAATGTCAACTCTGAGCCATTCTGGTTTGAGACGGAAGTGGAAGGGTTGGTTACACATGATGGTAAAACAGAAGTTTGGCACTTTTGCTCTGTAATCGCAAAAATAAATGGGTAACTTTAGAAGAAAAAGAAAGAAAGAAAGCAAACAGATTAGTGCGTTTGCCTGGGGTTAGCTGGGGGTATGAGGCATATGAGGAAGAAATTATAAAGCACTCAGGACACTTTGAGTTGACGTTTATTTGTTATCTTGACTTTGGTGCTGGGTTTCACTAACGCGCACACATGCTCGTACCTATTAGCACAATCTGTGCTCATTTTAGACACTGCAGCTTAATGTACGTCAATTGTACCTCAGTAAACTGTTTTTGCTTGTGGCTTGTTTTCGTTTTGTTGTTGTTGTTTTAAATATTTTATTTATTTAGTTTGTGTATGAATGCTCTGTCTTCACGTACACCTGCATGCCAGAAGAGGGCTTGTTGGTTCTGAGGCGGGGTTTCTCTGTGTAGCCCTGGCTGTCCTGTAACTCTCTTTGTAGACCAGGCTGGCCCTGAACTCACAGAGATTCACCCGCCTCTGCCTCCCAAGTACTGGAATTAAAGATACGCACCACCAGAGCAGGCAGTAGGAAAGTCTCTGGTCCCCTTCGGCAGTTGATACTTTGTAGCTTACCTGACTCCAGAGAACAT